AACAGTATGTGCTGTTGGGAATAAGGTAATCCCAAAAAGGAACTACTACGGAGCCTATGGGTTACATGCTACGCTGGCACGGTTCAGCTGTATCTAGTTCCAGGCTGAAAATTTGAAACATGGACAGCTGACATGTGGAGAAGCCCACATAATCGACCTTGACGAGTTGTGGTCCTTCCTTGCATTTTCGCAAGAGGTGCATGAAGGGACAAGGGGCTATGCAAGCGCCCTCATCCATGCTGGAGGTACCGGCACCCCAGCAACAGCTGCTGCAAGCGCTCTCGGGCAGCAGATCTGTTGGTTTTGGGGAGCGTGTTTGGTTTAGGGCTCCTAAACCCCGTAAACCCGAAAACCCTAAACCCTAAACCGCTTGTGGGCACAGATCCTTCGCCATGCGAGAGGGAAAAAACCGCCATAACATAACCCATAGCCTGATGCCATTTTGCGCCTGAGGTGTTTTGAGAGAATTCTGGGCCATGGGTCCAGAGCCACAGTCCTCGAGTTCTGTAGGGCCTCGTCCTTCTGCGTAAGACGTATACGAGGGCCTTTAGGTATCGGGGCCCCTGGGGCCTAAAGCTCTAAACCCATATGGGTAGTTGTCTAAATTAGGGTCCCTTTCAGGGTCCTTTTTATAAGGGTGCCGTACTATATTGGGGACCTAAAGGATTTAGAGAACTACCCATAAGGTCGAGTGAGGTCAGGAAGCCTGAAAATCCGAAGCCGATCACCCTTGGAGGCACCTTCAGGTCCGGATTGGTTTAGAGTTTAGGGGTATAGGGTTTAAGGGTTTAGGGGTTTAGGGTTTAGGGAGTTTGGCAGCTTTTTGGATTTCTTGCTCAGGGCTTCTATGTTAGATCATGATGGTCCTACAATTTAGGCGCCCCTTTTTCTAAGCCTCCGCAGTAATTTTGCAGAACAGTGTTGGGCGTATCTTGGTGTACCCCGGAGCCTGGGGGGGACCTGGCGACGACGTCTTGATGGTTTACTTGCGGCTGAGGGTTTAGGATTTGGGGTTTAGGGCTTGTTTGGTGACTAAGTCCAAGTCGTACTTGGGGTGATTAAGGATGTCCAAGTAGGCATAGCACTGCAATAGTAGCTTGGTTACCAACTGCCTTGATCACTGAAGCTTCAGTACGGTTTTGGTCCATATTTTACGGTGGTTGCATATTGGACACCCTAAACCCTAAACCCCTACACCCCTAAACCCCTAAAGCCCTAAACCCCTAAAGCCCTAAACCCCTAAACCCTAAACCCTAAACCCCTAAACCCCTAAACCCTAATTTTCGTAACAAAAGGCTCCTCCAGGAGGCTCCTTGCGCTTGGAATTCGTCGGTACACGAAAGGAGAAGCAGAGCCCGACCTTGCCTGTGGTCTTCTAGGTGGCAATTTGGGAAACTTTAAAATTTCCCTTATGGTTTCTAAAGAGGTACCTATTCCTAAATACTTTTCAGGGCCCCAAAACTACAACCCAGTCTTAAAATAACATCATTACGAGGGTGAGAGTGAGATTTGTAAGGGTTCTTGTTTGGGCGGTTATGTGGGCGGAAAAGGTTTCATGAGGGTGCTGAAGGTCTGTAGAATTGGGTCCCATGAAGTCTTGAAACTCACACGTTTTCAAAGAAATGCTGGGTGCTCACAGCTGCAAATAATTCGGAGCTTCGCATACTTTCTCTTTCTTGGCTCATCACAATTGCACTGTCCCTCGAGGTTGCAGGTGCAACCGCCGGTGCTGGCTGTGCAACAGCAGTCCCTGCCCTAGCCCTAGCACTGTAATGATTCAGGAAGGCAGCAGAGGATTTAGCAAACTGGGGTCTTACTCACTGCCATAGAGGGTGCATGGTACCCATAAAGTGGACCATCTTCGGGGAGTCTATCATGTCATCCCCACCGGAGCCTCAGCCGAACTCGGGCATGGGAATTTCCTTCCACAAATGAGGCATCCCAGAGTCCGACAAGAGAGCGGAAGTCAGAGCCCGCCCCACAAGAGTTCCCCTGCCTACACGCCTGTAAAAGAACTCTAAGTCCTGCGGTCAACAAAACGACAGAAGCACAAGCACAAGCACGCACAAACACCTTCAGCCTCTAAAGTACTAGAACTACCGACCGACCAGCCAACCCACCGACCGACCTACCGACCGACCGACCAACCGACCGACCAACCGCCCAACCGACCAGTCAATCAATCAGTCAGTCAGTCAGTCACTCACTCAATCAATCAGTCAATCAATCAACCAATCAGTCAGTCAGTCAGTCAGTCAATCAATCATTCAACCAATCAGTCAGTCAGTCAGTCAATCAATCAATCAATCAGTCTGCCAAACAGTCAGTCAATCAACTTGTTGATGCCTGAAGATCCCAAAGCCACTGCACAGCTGGCGCGCAACAGTCTGCGCTTGTCGGTGTGGCGCGCACCATTACAAAAGTGATCGAACCCGAGCTCTGTAGCAGTCCGCAAGATGACTCTAACTTTTAAGCTATAAGCGAAAGCGATGACGGTTACAGGTATATGCTTTGTGATAACACTGGCAATCACATCACCGCTTGTAGCTAGAATCGGTATTTGTGCTGGGGAAAGACCACTGAATGTCCTGACCCGTGTGGTGCTGACAGCAAGGCTTGCTCCGATGACACACACCGCTCCGCCACCACCTCTGGAAGTCTCAGGCAGCTCTGTGGCAGCAATTGACTTCATCAACCTTCATATGCAGAGGAGAGTCTCGAGTGAGGTTGCATCAGAAGTATATTGGGATTCCATAGGCTCCTACATTGGAACCTTTAAACCGTGAGGGTGTGGGTGGTGAGCTTTAAGTTGGGCCGATAGTACAAAGTAGCAGCAGTTCCTCTTTGTGGATACCGGAAACCCTGAAGTAGCCAGCTTATGGGCAGCAGTCGAGACCTGTAAGCTACAATGGAGCGTGGTTGGAGGCCCGAAAGCCCAGAGCAGTACCGCCATCGTGTATGCCAAATCCCGGAGCCCGAATGTGGCTTGCTTTGAACCTAGGTATGCATCAAGGCATGTACCCTTTGATCCGCAAAATCAGACAACCCTAAACCCTAAACCCTATAAACCCTAAACCCTATAAACCCTAAACCCCTAAACCCTAAACCCCTAAACCCTAAACCCCTAGGCAAAAAAAACTAAACCCTAACCCCAAACCCCGAAAGAATAGGTCCCCGGTTGAGCCAGACCCGGAAACCCCTTGCTGTGCCTTCTCTGGACCTGACACGACTTCTTCCTTCTCCAGTACCCAGAGACTCTAATATCCCTTAATTAGGGAATATACCTTAATCTTATCAGGGATATTATAAGTTAAGGTGGGCCCCCGCAGCAACCTCACTGCAACTGCTTTTGTTTTATGATGAGCCCTGGTCTTCTACCTGACCCCTGCAAGCATCAGCCACGCCTCAAACCCGAAACCTTGCCCCCGTTCCCAGGCGCCAGAAGTGATCTGCAGCATAGCAGCATTCAGAATTTGGGCACTCACAGGTCATAGAAAAATTCAATGACAAGGCTGACTCCCATCCTAATTAGAAGCATTCTAGCAGCCGAAAAAATGACATTCCATGGCCTTTGGAATCGGGGTCTCAGGTTTTTAGCAGGTATTGAAACCGCCGCTCGGTTGGCTTCTATGCTGATCCCCCCTTTCACGAGTTGGGGGTTTGCGGGGCTGCGCAGCACAAGCTTCTCGGAGTCCCGGACCTCGAGACATGCTTCATGTGACTAGAATTCAGGTAGCCTTAGTCATCTGGGTAGTTCTCTAAATTAGGGTCCTTTTTTGGGGTCCGCAACACAGTACGGCACCCTTACAAAAGGACGCCAAAAGGGAGCCCATTTAGAGAACTACCCATCCGGCCCAGATAATCACCAGCAATATCATCCCTCAGTGTGTTCCGTATTAATTATCAGCAGACCCCCTGAACCCAGTATGTCTCTGCTCTTTCGGGTTTAAAGTTTTAAAGCTATAGGGTTCTATCTGTCCAGAACGACTCCGGTTCCTATCATCGCTAGAGGGACCCTATGGACCTTAATCCTGACTTTCAATACAGTTACAAGATGGCAACCGAAAGCGTAGTCCACAAACCCTTGCCGTAGCCAGAAGCCCTGAACTCTCAGAGCGCAGAGAGTCCTTTTGGACAACGCAACTAGTAACTTACATAATTTCGCATGCACACAAACAAACACACAGACACACACAGACACACACACACACACACTCTCTCACACACACACACACTCACACTCTCTCTCTCTCTCTCTCTTCTTCCCCAGGGCATGAGGGGTCTGTTAAACCCCCCCGGCCAGTTGGCCCCCCTCTTTCTCTCTCTCTCTCTCTCTCACACACACACACACTCAGACCCGAGATCTCCTTGATCAGCGGCGACCGCTCGGGGCGGGCCGGTTTGAGACGAAGGGACAGGAGCAGCAGGGCTGAGGATGCGTACCAACTTTGTCCTGGAGTTGTCGATGCAGCACCCGGAGGCGGCGGAGGCCATGGCAATCTTCAGGAAGTGGTACGCATCCTCAGCCCTGCTGCTCTTGTCCCTTCGTCTCAAACCGGCCCGCCCCGAGTGGTCGCTGCTGATCAAGGAGATCTTGGAGGCGGTGGGATGGTAAACAGTCTGAGCCCCAGTTCGCTGCACCCGCTTGCTTTACCTGCACCGCTTGCCTCCCTTATTCCTCATAATCCTGGAAATCACTGCTACCTGCATGCTGCTGTGTACTTGCTGGCATACATCTGTGCCATTCAACTGCCACCCGGCCCCCTCGGGGGTGCCAATGCTTTAGAGAACAAGCACTATCTTCGCTTTGGCGCGAGAGTTCCCAGCCCGATCCTTCCGCAGGCTTGGTGCTGTCTGCCTTACCAGAGTGGCGCTCACTGCTGAATGAATGCCGGCACTTACATCGGCAGCAGGACTGCATGGAGCTCATTCTTCATCTTCTTGAGCGTCACCCGATTGCCTTCCTTACTTGATATACGATTCTGTACCCTGGCAAAATAAGAACAAGTACTAACACTCTTACTGTAAAACATAAACAGTAAGTAAGAGTAGTTAAGAGTAGTTGTCTATTAACATATTAGCCAAGTTCTGCATATTCTTGATATAGTATTCGTATAATCACATAGCAATACGAGTCTTTGTTATATAACGAATGGCTGACGTGCAACATATTTTGCAGTACTTCCAAAGCTGGAAGTTCTTATTGATGTAAGAGTTTGTTTTACTTCAATACACATATCACGGCGAATTAATATTTACATAAGATAGAATAATACAATGCTTGTATGACAGATCGCATCAAGCCTACTCTAAATCATGTCGATACGGTATGTTGCTTCCAACTGTATATTGCTTCGAAGCCCACTTGTTCGTAAAGACTTGGGCCTCGAGCACCCCGCAGGCAAAAAAAAGAGGACCAAAAAAATTTCTCCACCCGCCGAGCGCCTCAATCACATGAATGCACCATGGCTATACACCTCTGGAGTGTCTTACGGGCAGATCGCGTCGCTAGGACTCCTGGCTACTCTGGCAGGAATTGTGGTCTTCGGTTCGATGTGCCAGAGGCAATTAAGTGCAGTGTCCGCCGCAGTGTCGGCTGTTCGGCGGCAACTGATAACGAGGGAAACAGCCATTTGGTAAGCAGACTTCTTACAATCAAGTTCCCGCTGAATGCCTTTCTGAAGGAGCTGGCCATTCAGTTGCAAAAGAGAGGGGCAGAGTTGCATCTGTTTTGGTTGACGGGCGTGCAGAATGTCGAAGCGGATGCATTGACGGATAATGATACTGCAACGTTCGACCCCAGCTTGCGTGTGCGCTTTGATTTGTCTTCGTTCAACGCAGATCGATTTTTTCTGTCGTTTTGAGAAGGCTCGAGTCGTGTGACCGTCGTAGGCATGTCGACCATCATAGAGAGCGAAGCTGCCTTTGTCTTGGACACTGGCATGCAGCTGTACCAGGAGATCAAGAAGACCAAGGCAGGAAGGGGCAGTGCCAAGGTCCAGAAGAGTGCTAAAAACGACACACACTCCGTGTGCGGGATATTCGTGATAACGGATTCCCGTAGCCGGCGCTGTATCTAGCTCGCAATCGCTGAAGTAGGGGTTGAAGTCTTCGTTGCGACCTTGTAACATTCGTGTGGTTCGTTGACCACTCGCGTGGAACTCTTGTTTCGGCCCTTCGAGTTCTCTGCGGCAGGTCTCAGACTTGGAGGGGTCGTGACGGCTGTGTCATGGCTTTCTCGTCGACAAAGCTTGATGACAAGGAAGCTTTCGCTAGGCTAGGCTGCTGGAGCGATGGGCAGTGCCGAGGGTCGTGACAAGCTTCAGGCAGTGGGGGTACAGGACCACTGCTTTGCTGGCTCATGTTTTGCCCCGGCGGAACCTGGGGTCTGCCCGACTCGGCATCCACGGCCACTTCTGTGGCCCGACCACGGTTGCAGGCCTCAGAAGCTATCGCTCTTGTCTCGGACTGCAGCCCAAGGTGCCCGTCCGAGCTTCTTCCAGACGTGATGCCCAGGCTGACTTTCCTTAATGTGGTCAAGCAGGCGGTTGACAATACACAGCTGGGCTGGCTGTCTTGGAGGATCAGGACGAGTGAAGCGGACGCATCAGATGCTTCAGTCTTTGCTGGGGCCAGCATCCGGGGAACTTGTGGTAGATGTGCCACAAAACCTACCGTTGGAGTCTGTCACCAGGCGCTGTCTTGAGCGCTTGTCCTTTGCGCTGGCTCTCTTGGACGCCTGCTACCTGCTCATGCCGAAAAAGCTCGCTGAGGCAACTGCAAATCCTGTTGGCAAGTCGTTACGAAAGACGCGATGGAGGCTGACCGTGTTGTGTGGTCCGCGAAGAAAGTTCGCTGCGACGCAGAGACTGCTCGCTGCTGCCTATAAACGAGAGATTCTTCTGTGCGAAGTCGAGATTTATGTTTGCTACTTACAGCAGAGATGCCATCGCATGAGTCTTTACTAAAAACTGCAATCTTCGTATCCAGTGCTATCGCCTAGTCTCTGGTTCATGCCGGTGCAAACACAGAACCACCAGAGAGTTGTAACATATTTTATCACATGGTGTACATACAAAAAATCATATGCTATTCCAGCCGAGAGTCCATTCATTATCCTGTTTACAAAATAATCTCCGATCTCGCTTTTCTGGGATAGTCGTCGTAGTAGTAGTAGTAGTAGTAGTACTCATATATGTACTAGTGGCAGGAGCAGTGGTACTAGTAGTACCAGTCGTAGCAGTAGTAGGGCGTGGCGCACAGGGCTTGTGAGCAGAACAGGGCCTACGCACAGGGCCTAAGGGTGGACAGAGCCTATGACAGGGGTGGAGGAGTCTATCGACAGGGGCGGCCAGGGCCTACGACAGGGCAGACAGGGCGTATATGAACAGTGCCTACACAGGAAGGGCCTGCGGCAGGAGTCAAACAGGGCCTGCCGTAGGCCTGTAAACAGGCGAGCACGGACCCTGTACGGACCAGGGCCTGTCTAGGGGGCGCATAGGCCCGATCTACAGAGCCTGCCATAGGGCCTGTGATAGCCTATGCCTGGGGGTTCATTACTTTATGATTAGTTAATGAACTGTAAAACATGTATTCCTTAGATACAAGCCGACAACATGATGTATGTGTGTGTGTGTTTTATTTGGGTTTCTGTCGGTTCTGTTTGATTTTTCTAATTGTGCGTGTTTCGGAGTTGGCTGCATGCGATAAAACTACCCGACGCACGCACGCCCAGGGTCCCCCGATGTGTGAACCTGTTCATCCACACCTTTAGTCTGCCTATATCCAGTATGCTGGGCGAGCCCTGTCTGCACACATATCTCGTATCTGTGTACATGTACATGCATAGACGAATGTACGTGGTGACATGCTTGTATTTGAGCGTGCTGCAAGAGACATACATAATCGGGAACGAGAGCGCAATCCATTTAACAAGAAAAATCATTTTATTCCTTGAGACAGTCCCAAAAATCGAAAAGACCAAAGCCCATCAGCCAAGAATTTAACATATTTTTCGCGACAACCCGAACAAAAACAAAAATACTAAGGGTTTCGTAACCTCTCAGAAATCTGAGATGAAAATATGTCTCCCCTCCGCACTCCAGGAAAACATACCTGCAGGGATGCATTTTACTCCTGTCATCTCAATTGGGGTGCCATTCCTTGAGTCGGGCACACCGGGGCAAGAACCCTACCCCAACGGATCATCAGCTTCAGCATGCCATTCCACGTGTCTGACATGCTTATGCACCGAAATCAATCGTCATCTCATGTTCTGCTCCTCTGTTTTACCGTCGTGTTGTCCTGTCCGTCGCTCATCGCAGTCGTTCGTGCCGAGCCAAAGTGTATGTCTGCCTGTGTGTCTGTGTTTGTCCCTGTCCGCGTGTTTGTGTATGTGTGTGTGTATAGATATATATATATATATACATACATACATGCGTGTGTTTCTGCATGCTTATGTACGTGTAATTAATGCACGTGTAAGAACTTGCTGCTAAAACCATGTCTGAACGACGTTGGGTATAGTAATATTCTGGAATGTTGCAATTGTTACCAATATTGCCACTACGATGAGCCCGAAACGATAATTACCAATATGCTGTTTCCAGGCAGCCCACACCCTAAGAGAACATGCTGGACCATACAAAGATTCCCAAGGAGATAATCCATGGCAAGCCCCAGGCCATAAAATGTTTGCCCAGCAAGATTTGTGTAATCAGCAGCACATCCGTATTGTTCGTGGCTGGCTTGCGCCATCTTCTTCGACTGCCAAAGTCAACCAACAACAACGACAACACCAATGCCCGTAGAGGCAACGGTTCTACTTTAGTGTTGTAGTGTTAGGAAGTAAGCAATCATGCTGGCTTTTCTAACACTTGAAACAGTGCAAATCTATTGCGACAGTTCCAATGACTACAAACGGATGGATTTCCAAACTTGCAAAGTTGTCAGATATGTCAATCTAGTTTGTCCACGGACAAAATTTCGGGAGAATCCGAATTCCCGATCAACGGAAAACTATTGATGTAGGGTTGCTTGTTGACGATTCCCGCGACTGCGCCCAAGGAAACTGTTGTGCACAGGGTTGATGTCAGCCAAAATCCTTCCGGTTTGATCTTGGACAACCCTCCAGCTTTTTCGTTGGTGACTGTCCAGAGCCTTCGCTTCTTCGGGTTTTGAGTCGCGTCACTGCAGTCCGCGGACCCAAGAAGCATAATATGGCAGATGACATCAATGTCACCCTGACATGCTTCAGGCTTGCCGAGGTTTTGAGGAATGGGGTTGCCCTCACGCAGATCATAAGACGAAACAGGTCCTTCTCGCGGGAATCTGCTAGATTGGTCGCAGGTCCGAGTAGCCAACCCCCTTTGACATGTCGAGTATGAGAAGGTTACATTTTGCGCTCGGAAGTGCGAAACCAAAGACAAACAGTGTGCTGCACAAACCAACTACTGTTTCAAATCAGACGGAAAGAAGGGACGGAAAGGCAAAGCAATGGCACGATTTGGAGGGGCTTGGTTCATGGGCATGCTTGCATGCAGGATGAGGAAAACGAAGGCACAGAGAGCGGGATCACCAACGTAGGACATGAATTCCAGGCCCGTTGCCTGTGGATTGCAGGTTTGGCCTCTAGACGAGTTTTGCCATGGCATTTCTGAACCCGAACCGGCAGAAGCTGTGCTATCTTTCGATATCCAGGTATGCTGACATGAGCACCTGCTGCAAGGAGTACGAGGATGCTAAGAGGCCGACCATCCTTGAATCGATCCTCGCACCCAGGACACCAACCCTTCACACTGCCAGTTACGATCGGGGCAGTTTTGACACAGAGGCTTCAGTCACATGCCGACGTGCGGTCAGCTTTTCTCAGCCACTGTAAGCACTCGTTGGTTTTTGTGGACCGCCAGGTAGGGCCAAGGGTTTCGAGCGTTCGGTTGTTCGATTCATCCTGGGCCACATGGGTTTGACTCTTCGAGCCCCGACTTCTGGGCAGGTCTATGTTGGAGCTTGTCTTCGCCCCTTGCGGTGCCATCGCTGGGAGCGACATCAATTGGATCGAGAAAACAGATGAGGATTCCTTCATGTAGTGGCAATAGCTTTGGAAGATTCGCTTCAAAAGCCGCGACATCGGACAATAAATGCTCAGGCACAGCATTAGAGCCGTAATGGGCCATTGTCAAGCATTGAGTACTTCCTAGTATCACCTGGTTGACTGCGCCTGGTGTTTGAACTGTTGGCCTCCCCGATGTGCCCAGACAGGAGATCGTTGCTGCAACGATGAAGGACTGCTAAAAGTGTTTCATTTACAGTTTGCACTTTTCTGCATTGGGTTTCGCCTGAGATGGGTCTCCGGAGGAGCTCGAAAGGCTCTTCCCGGACGAGGCACACGGGAGAGGGGGCAGTGCATCAAGACAATTGTTGCAGGCCATAGATCTCTCGCAGAGTTCTTTCGCGCATATTTCTTCCGCTAGCCATGCTGATTCCACGGCCCAGACTGCCCCCTCGTCTGCCCCCTGCTCTGCCCCCTGCCCTTTCCCCTCTCCTGCCCTGCCGTGCCCCTGCCCTGCCTGCCCCGCCCTGACTCCAGATTGGTGTCGCACTGCCCGGCGGCGCACAGCTGCGCAAGGCGAGGGTGGTGAAGGCACCTCGGAGCTCCAGATTTGGGCACTCGCACATCACATGGCGGGTGCGGGAGCCCCTCTGCGAGAGCAAATGCTGACGCATTAGTGGTTTGTGATGTTCTCGAGACGACATGTGACGACTGCTGCGTTCGCACAGCCACCTGGCTCCTCCCACACTGCATCAGTAATAGACGGTTCGTTCTAGTAGGCATGCGGCATGTTGCATTTGCAACACACATCCTCGGGCTAAAACTAGCATTACTTGTCGCAGAAGCTACCTCACGCAGCCAAACCTTCGGGCAGTATTGAATAAGCTACAGTGCACCGTTACATGCAAGCGCAGGTACCACGCAGCGTTTACGCTGCAGTCCCAGGACGCAACAAGTTCCGGCCTTCTCAGGCCCCTGCTTACGCCTACGATTTGCACGCTTGGTTTTTTCTGCCCTGTCGTCACCTGCCCGTGATGACTTCGGGGGGCTGCTGGATTTCTCAGCTTGGCGCTGGTGCAGGCAACACCCGTGCCCAACTTCACCTTGGCGGGCGATTGGACTAGCCAGAAGTTCTTGGGCAGCATGGAGGCGGAGTTTCCGAAAACTGCCCAGGATTGCAATGGGCTTCCGATCAAAGTCATGGAAGCTTGCTTTTGGGCCAGGGAGCCGTGCTGGCGGGCAAGTTGGCCGCAGAGGTGATTTGCGACCGTGCCAGGGGGATCAAGGCGCATCTTCGTTCAAGCGCCATGCCCCCTTTTTGGACAAGGTTATTGCGGGCACTGCAAAAAAGAACCTTGAGCAAAAACCTGTGCATGAAATAATCTGCACACATGTGCAAAAGATTGAAATTGCAAAGTGCAGATAGAAGCCCGCGCATGCACAGCAGCTGACACAAACACCTGAGCGCAAGAATCAATCTGCTGTAGGGCTCAGAATACGCTCGAGAGCAGAGCGATAGCTGACGGCCCCAAGTGCTGATGGAGCACGATTTTGCGACAAAAAGTCGCAGCCGCGATTGGCCGCTACCCTTCGAGTCCTTCCTGGCATAGGAGGGCGAGAGCTAAGCGCTCTGGGCCCGTACTCGTACGAGGCTCCGCAAACGCCAAGGATTGCTCCCCTTGGTAAAAGACAGGTGGTTGCTCGACGCAATCATACGGGGGCGCAGTGGTTTGGGATGGGCCGAGGCAGAGGCAGCCAGCAGCCATGGCACGACAAGTCCAAGGATTCTCAGCAGGATGGAGGCAGAGAATGGCCGCCAACCCCGGTGTGCCCTCATCCAGCAGTGCGACCTAGGAGGGCGGTGGCTGGGAGCAGCTCAGGGGAGCCTTGGATCAGGAGGGGTCGAATGCCCAGAAGGCAACCCGATGAGCTTTGGATGCGGCCGGTACCCTTGTGAGGCCTTCGCGACTTCCGACGAGCTCTCCGAACCCTGGGCACTATGGCGACTTCCGGGCGAGTTTCGGGCGCGGGTCAGGCGGAGGCGGAGACTCCACAGACAGGACCCGCATGTGAGCATGGCGCCCAGCGGAGGCTTGCGTATGATGGCAGTTAGATTGAACAGCAAACCATCTCTGTGGGAGTGATCGTTATGCTACATGCCACGTGCATGCTAGCCGGCTCTCTTCTTCGGCAGCTTGGTTTTCTCGGATCGCCATTGGGTCGGTTTTGCCTTCAGGTCCTTGTCGGAGCTACCTCGCGAGGACTGCTTCGTCCTGTTCCCAGTCCATATGGCACACGAGGCGGGAAGGTCAGGAAGCACACCAGAAAGCATCTAGATGCAAACCGGGGTCTAAGTTGCGGATGCGTTAAACCTACCTTGGTTTCGCTGGCTTGGCTGGGCATGTGCGGCCCCATGTTTTTCCCTTGCCCCTGGACCGACGCTTCAAGGACTCCCTCTTGGCCTACCAGGCTCCTGCGGGGCCATGCTGTGCCAGAGCCTTTTGATGGACATCACAGCGACACCGCCCCTTCACGGCTCACCCGCCCGTATGAAAGGCCCGTTGAGACTCTGGTGACATATGTCGGGCCGGTGCTGCAAAAGGAAAAAAGGCCCCGTCATGCCCCTTCACCAGGCAGGCATCTCCAATGCTTGGGAGGTCCTCTCGAAGACAATTGGATTGGATGCATCGTTTATACGCCCTATGTCAGGTCAGTGTACGTGGCGATACGGTGCAGGCCGTACCACGACCTTCAGCATTGCATCGGGACTGTCCTGGATGGCTCCCTTGGGGTCGATCCATTCGACTTCGACAACTGTGTTGCCACAGTACCTCAAAGGCACACAGATTAAGTCACGCTCTTGCATTTTCCCAGCTTAACGCGCAGAGGAGAGAGTCGACCTTTGCCTACAGTTATCTTAGACTTCTCCTTGGCAGAAGGGCGATGTTATGCCAGCTTCCTGACCAGAACTCTTCAGTTTGAGGACTTCATCAGGTTTGTCACCCCACAGGTATACCATGGGGACGGCCCCCTAGTAGTGATGCATGTAGGGGATAACCCTAGGCCTCACTCTCGAGGTAGCCTGTTGCGCCTCTTTGATGGCGTCGTTATTAGTGTCCGAAGGACTAGCCGCAGATGGAGTAGTGCGCCACGTGCAGAGGACATCCTTGCGGATCCGGAGACATGGGGCCCCTTACGGCACCTCCCGCATCACACCCGGGACACCGGTGTGCTGGTCCGGTCCGAGCAATTTCTTGTCCTAAAGCACATCATCACTACGGGCAGACTCTTTTGGATGCCGTGGCAGCCAAGATCCACAAAGCCCCGGAAGAACTCACCACGTGTGTTTTCCAGACGGCAGATCTCGAGCTCCAGGGGGAGCATTGTTCCCATTTGTTGATTGTGTTGGACATGCCACCCGGACCGGCTTCCGCTAGCGGGCGGTGTCGACGCCGCGACTGCTATGTGCTCTGTGACCTGCGTGCGCTGGGAGCGAGGGCCTGGATTTTACGGCCATGCACTGTCCGTGCACCTTCCCTCTGTTGCGGCACGATGCGCGTTGCATGTGCCGAAGCACCAACGCAGCGGACCTCGACAGGGTGATGTGGTTCTAGTCACAGGTCACCGACCACAACAATCGGCAGCCCACTGCAGGACGGTGGCATTCTGCTGCATGTGCGCGCAGGAGCCCCTCGAGGTCTAACGATAGGGCACCACCGCCTTCTCAGGCTAGGCAGGCAGATCCGCGTTCAGTTTCGGATAAACAGGTCTCCCTGTCCTCCGGCGCCCCCTTTCTTGCTTGTTTACTAGAGTCGGATCTTTCTGCGGGCCCTTCTGCTGCTGAAGCCCGGGGGCGGGTCCGATGGCCAGTTCTCTGCAAGTGCCACCCAAATGCAGTCAGCAGGGCGGCCACTTACATTGACCTTGAGATAGACGCTCCGCTTCAGGCTGCGCCGTTAGCGGCTCAGGCCCTCAGGCGCCCTTGCCGGAAGGCGTGCTTGGTGCAGGCGGTCCTCCCCGGACACCCAACGTCATGTGCCTTATTCTTTGTGTCAGGGTGCTTGGTTATATACCAGACATCATCGTTACGCACATTGACTTGCCTTGCAGCGTTGAGCATGCTGTTGCTTCGTCCGACGCCTTGCGTGATGCCACCCAGGCGGATGGATTTGGGCTCGTCTTCCCCGCCGCTGCAGCTGGCCTCAGTCGGGATCGCACTTACGATGTATTTGTCCATGGCCTCGTGCATCCGTTGATGGAGGACTTGTAGGTCGATTGGCGCTCAGGTCTTTCTTTGTGCATCGTACCGGCGGGCCAGGGACCTACCCCAGGCTGGGACCTTGCCGACATGTTGCAAGATCAGGCGGGATGGTGATCCCGACGGGAGAGCATTTTTATGTTCTTACGGATGGGGTCCTTCTTCTCTGCAAGGTTGCTCCGGGAAGGCGACGGCACCTCAACGCTGACATTGCGTTCTCCCTGGGCAGCCCGGGTTACAGTCTGGGTTCCACCACTTTGCAAACCGTGCCCCGCACCACATGAGTCGAGGGCCCCCTACATTTGGGATTCTCACAACCACCCAGACTCTGCAGACGACACCGTGCCCTCCGGCGCGCAGTCCCGAACGACGAATCATCTTTGTACTGGACTGTCGCGCTGTCTTGATGGACTTGAGGTGGCACCTGTTGGATTCCTGCCTTGGCGGACCGACTCGTAGATCAGTGCCCTAGCACGCATCTTGTGGTCGCGCGCAGGGCTGAGATCGGTCCTACCGCATCGTTTCGCATGGTCAAATCCTCAAAACTGAGTCTGTTGAGGCTGCGACCCCCGACTCCACACACACCGAATATTGCTCACTCCCATCTGATGCATGTATGGGAATAGATGGAGGGCATTGCGATTCGGAGTCGGAATCTTGTCAAGAAGTGGATGACCGACAGTCGCCTGTTGTAAGCCCTGACGGTTGCTCCCCAGAAGGGGGACCTTAGTCGGTCACCACCACCGGCTGAAGATGGTCAGGCTGCAGGCTCGGTGTGTAGAAAAGTTCGCCATGGCACAGGTTGGAGCTTGCACCCCGGCTTGCGGCACCGAGCAGGCTTTTGCGCAAGTCAGACCGGAGGGCACGCACAAGTCATAATAGTCAGGCACCCTTCCTGATCGTCTGCAGGGCCATCCAGCAGGGTTTTCAGCACTACAACCCTGACCCACTTATTGGCAGGCGCGACGGAACGCAAAAAGTCAAGGACCCTGCGATCGCCCTGCTGTGAAATAAGGCCATCTCCCTCCAAAGGCGAGTGTAACAGAACGGATGTCGTCTAATGCGCTAAGCTGGGCGAAGCCCTGGCATTGCGGTTCGTGCAGCAGCCTTAGGGAGCAGAACGGCACATTATCACACCTCCCAACCTGACCTGTTTTTTGCACAAAGAGCCTGCTCCAAGAGACCGGCATCTTCAGGGGTGTCTTCAGCATTGCCAGCCAGAGCGGCACTTGAACACGATAGCATCCGACAAATGAGGGCGGAACCCTTGCAAACAGGGGGGCGCCCATCAGGCATTGGTAAGCGGGCCAGTACACGGGAACCCATCAATTTCGGCATTCCTGACTGGGAGCGGCTGGGAAGAGAACCAGGTCATACGATCGGAGCCCCAAGAAAGCAGCAAGTCGGCTCCTGTACTGCAAGGGGGTTGGTCAAATCGGCCTGAAACAAACGGAAGCCGATCTTTATCGCAGATCTGAAGACAAAACCCGACCGTGAACATCTGAATCACACATACCTGCACTCCCTCAATAATGGCAGGTGACAAGACCAGGGACTTGGGAAGGAAGGTGCACTCCAGTCTCATGAGGAACACATCTCGCGACCTCGCACATTTCGAGAGGAACTGCGTGTTGCATTGACCTTCCCTGCTACCGCAGAGGAGGCTGCACTTGCTGTTCAAGCGGCTAAGTGCCCTGAGGCAGCTGCAGAGATTCCACATTGTTGCGGCTGCGCCGCAGACGCTCCCAGATGTGTGCGCGTTTCTTGCTCATGCGGCTTGGAATGGTCTCGCCATGGTCGCGTGCATCGATGCACGCGCTTGTGATGGTCGTCAAGCCGCTCTGCGCCTGGCCGATCTGGTCAAATTCGAAGGATGGGGTGCATGCGCAAGCTATATCCTGCAAATACGATCAGCTTCGCTTTCCTGACCAGGTCGTACAGCGGCACCACTCAGAGCCGCATACCGGCGGCCACCGTCCTGAATCCCGTGCGGGAGGAAGCACCACTTGGGTGGCAGCAAGTGGTTAATGGGAGCTCTCATGATCATGATCTGCTTGATGTCGCACCCGGATATGTTACAGTTTGCTACGTGCAGGTCGACGAGGGGCGACCCCAGCTCATGGGAGGTTTCACTTGCGAGGAGCTCATGGATTTTCAGGAGTGGCCTCGTCCCTTCGTGCATGAGGAGCTGGGCGTGTTCGATGAGTCTTGCAGGCCTACGGGCTTCCTTATGAAGTCGTGGAGGTCCTTCTAGCCGCACGGGTCGCCCTTAATGACAGCTACTGAATTCCTTTCGGAGGGATGATTCTGATGCGACCGTCGCTCATGTGGCCCATGAACTCTCGGGTCGACACGCACAGCCAGCCATACGATGGGTGATCTTTATCGCACCCATTCACCCTTCGCTTGTTTGCCCCTGTGCAGGAGAATCTGTCTTGCGCAAGGGCGGTGAAAGGTCCGCTGTCAGACCTCGGAAGACTCCGGAATCTCTTGAAACTGCCTGGGCCAAACCCGTAGATTGCTCGGATGGATACAATCGTGGGCTGTCCAGCGTCATTAATCGGCCCACGGATGCAGATTAAGACAATCTGTTCAGGATTCCCAGCAGTATCCACCAAGGGGGTCTGCAGTAGAATCTTTTCTCCAGAGGAGTTTGCCTTCAGGTAGGCACACTCATTTTCCATGAGCCGGACCCTCGTTGGAATCGTCATAATCGCACTGGAATCGTGATATGCGAAAGCTTTGAGGGTATTCTCTGGTGTGAGTCAGCGCTGGGAAGAGGAACATGGTGATCAGCGATACCATTCCTTCTTCACGAACTGGCATCTCCGGAATTGTCTGTGCCTCAGCAATCGTGAGGCGAGATCATAGAACGGTTGACGCTTC